AAAACTTCGGTTTTCATTCTTTTCCTGCTTTGTGTGTCAACTTTCACGGTTGCTAAGCAACAGAGCATACGGCGATAAAACCCGTGTGAATCCGACCCGGGTAGACCTGGTCGGATTCACAGCCTAAACTCTTCCGGCCTCCTTATTTTCAAGGACTTCAAAGAATCCAGTCTAGGTAGACCGCGTCCTTGGAGGATGCAGCCCAGGATTTCAAACAGAGCCACGGTCTCCTGATGTTGTCTCCATCTTCCAGAAGTTCTCTCCTCCTTCCTGTCTCTGATTCTCCAACAACTAGAACCAGAGTTTCCTCTCAGATCAGAATGGCTCCATCATGACGCCACAGCTTTTTCCTCCCTTCTCTTTTCCTGCCAGCTGGCATTAGCTGACAGGGAATGGCTAATGCTAGCTGGCATGGCTAATGCTAGCACCTGCCTACTAATAACCACCCCCCCACTCATCCACCCAGAGCAGCAGGGCTTCCTGGGAGAGCCTTAAAATCCCAGGTGGTTCCTACCTGTCCGGTGTAAGATGATCTGGGGGATCCTGGTGAAATCCAGCAGTCTGTGCTGATCATCCATCTTCTCCTCCTCGATCTGATCTAATCTTCCTTTAAACTCTGGGAATGTTTCTCCAGCAGGAGTTAACTGCTCGCTGACAAACTCTCCTTCCAGCTGGACTCAACACATTCTCACTGCAAACACTCACACATTAGCAGCCTCTCTGCTAGCACACGGAAGCTAATGCTAATGCTAACAGCTGATAGCCGTGTCTCTACCCGATCAGTCCCGTCTTCTTTTTTCTTTCTCTATGGAATTTTTTGGCGGTTGGCACGCAAAGAAATGGTGCATTACCGCCACCAACTGGTATGGAGTGTGGATCAGAATGTCTACTAATTTATACTAAACAAACACGTCACACTCAAATTAACTAAACAATATAAACAAAACCAAAATAAGATTCAGATCCGCTGAGTTACATTTATTAATCTAAGATGGGCTGATATACTTCCCGGTGATCCTCGATTTTATTTTGTTAAAAATACCTAAATGACATTTTCCAGTCCAAACATAGTAAACATACTAAAATATAATGTGTGAAAGGTTAATAATGTATTTATTGAGAAAATAAATGTTATATTCTACCCAACTTTCAAATAGTAATAACGGATCAGGAGGCAGGAATATGCTGGAAGGTGTGCTTTACTTTATTTTTTTATTTCACTTAAAGTCAACAATACAATAAAATATGAGAAATACAAATAAACAAATATGCCAGGGGGTATGTTACAAATAATAAATACATTTAGGAGAAAAGACAAACAGATTGACAAACATGCGCTGGGGAGAGAAATATGTGCTTATGCATGTATACATATATACATGTTTATATTCTACAAATAAACATTTCTTCTACAACATTAAGTTGTCCAGAAGTTTTAGTTGGGAACAGATTGCTGTGGTTTTTTTGTGCCTTCTGGTGAGAAGAGAGTTAAATAGTATGAAAATATTGCTTGACTTCAGTTAAATAAAATGTATTATTATTATTATTATTATTTTTAATTTAAATTAATGCAAATTAAATTTGGCCAATATAATTAAAAGATTAATAAGGAAAGGTTTAGGAAACATTTTACTTTGCCGTTGAAAATGAAATAAAACGTTTTTTCAATGAAGCTGAAAATTATTAAAAATATTTGAATCCACAAAGTTACAAAAGCGTTTCCAGAAAGTCTTAGAATATGGACACAACCAGAACAAATGTGGAACAGATTCTGGGAGAAGATCACAAAAAGTGCAGTTCACCAAAATATCAGATTTGAACTTCTTTAGGTGGTCTTTGGCGGGATTGATCCTGTGAATGAGACTTCACCTTGTTAGAGAGGAGAAAGGGATTGGCTAACAGCCAAGCTAATCTGTCACAAATTTGTTCCAGTATGGAACAACAGCAGGAACAGACGCCACCTCTCTCTGAAAGAGGGATCTGATTGACTTATTGTTCTGACGAAGAGACGAGGTGAGATGTATTTTGCCAACAGAAGAGTTCATGGGAGTCAGAGAAGGAGATGAAGAGGAATGGAGTCTGGGCCTCTGTCTGTATAACATGTAAATCCCAGCAGAAATAGAACAAAAACCTTTGCATATTCTCCAGAAGAAGCAGGAAGGTTAAAATTAGAGAGGAACCCTTCGTAATTTAATAAGGTCCCATTGTCATTGAACGGTTGATGAACCAGAGTAATACTGTGACTGAACCACGAATCCTAAAACAATGATCTTTTTTTGTACAGGATGTCCTTATTGTTCCAAATGAAATACGGCTGAGGTGAAGGTTGTGCTTGTAGATAAGTGACCATGACAAAAAAAGCCTGGTGGTGAAAACTGGAGAGTTTGATAGGAATTTTATGTACATCAAAATTACAAACCAAGAAAAAGGTTAAACCTCCAAGTTTAGAGAAAATGTGGTAAGCGATAATTTTCCATATAGAAGGTTGAGATGCGAAGAACTGGGGAATCAAATTTATCTTAAAAGTGTTATTCAAGGAAGAGAAAGACGAACAGTTAAGCCCTCCATTTTTATATGGGTTCATTAAAGTAGATTTTCTGAGCTATGATGTTGTTGTTCTTTTGTAAAGATTATGCCTAAATAAACAACCTAGTTTTTAACTGGAATGCCATCAATTGATGTCTCAGTGCGATCTTTAACTGCCATAATCTCACATTTCTTTAGATTCAAATTTAGACCAGAAGGTTTGGAGAAATTATTTAATACTTGGATCACTAACGAAGCTGGATTCTTATCCTTTAAGAACAGGGTAGTGTCATCAGCCAGTTGTGTTAAGGTCAGTTATTTTTCAGCAACATTAACCCTATCAGAGGACTGGTTTTAATGTGATCTGCTAGAAGCTGAGCTACCAAAACCAACAGGTAGGGGGAGACAGAACACCACTGTCTGATTCCTCTGCTGAGGCTAAATCTGGGAGGTGAGCCTTTCCTTCATCTGATACAGCTGATGTTGTTTTGATAATTGTTATAAATGCTGTCCAAATCCAAACTTTTCTAAACTTTATAATATAAAACCATGTTCTGCAGGGTCAAAAGCCCTATAGACGACTAAAAATAAAATGAATCCATTATCAGAAACAAAATCAGGGTCATCTAAGATATCAAGAACAAGTCTTATGTTGTTTGTGATTGCCGATTTTTCATAAATCCAGATTGAGTTTCGTCAATGATTGACTGAAGAGTTGATTTTAATCTTTTAGCATCACTAAGGCTAATATTTTATAGTCAGTATTAAGAAGGCAAATAGGTCACCAATTATCAAGAAGTAAAGGATCCTTGTTGGGTTTTGGTATAAAGGAGGTTAAGAGACATTTTTGATGTTTTCATTAAGTACCTGTAATAAAAACGGAGCAAGGTCGTTAGAAATATGTTTCTAGATTTCAGTACTTAGACCATCGGTTTCAGGGGATTTGATGGTTTGGAGATGTGCAATAGCATCAACAATTTCATGAATGGTGATTGGCTCCTCACAGCGTTTCTGGTCGATGTTAGAAATCAGTTTCAATATTAAATTATTTAATAAGGAATCAATTGAAAAACGATTCTCATAAAATGATCAACAGTATTTAGCAACATGATCAGGATCATCAGTTGTTGAGTCGTTAATTTTTAGTCTGCTGAATTATTGATAGCATTATGCTTTACAAGATTTAAAAAGTAATGGGTGTTTTGTTTTCCTTCTTCCAACCATTTATCTCTTGATCTAACAAATGCACCTTTACTTTTATTTATGTACATATTGTCTAATTTAATTTGTAATTCAGCTAATTCTTGTTGTTCTAAATCATTTAAGGAAGATGGATTTAAATAGGACAGCTCAATAATTCTTGAAATTATATAATCTTCTTCTGCTCTAATAGTTTTGACCCTGTTACTACTAAATTTCCTCAAGAATTTGCCAGATTCAAATTTGAAAAGTTCCCAATTGAGACTATAGCGAGCATCTACACAGGCTTTACACCATTACTGATTGAATCATTTTGATATATTTCTCCAATACTTCTCCAAATAGCAGTAAAGAAGTGTTAATTTTTCAGTATAACGGAGAGAAAAAGATAGTTTTTTTGCCTGAAAATTTAAAAATCAATTTAATAGCTTTGTGAGGAGTAGGAACTATATTAACAGTTACATCCTCCTTGTTTACTTCATTTGATATTAACCAGAAATCAATCCTGGACAGTCTTGTTAATGATTTATTATTCCAGTGAACAAATAGTCATGAGGATGGAAAGTTCTCCAAATATCAGTCAAGTTGATTTTTTCCATAAAGGCTTTGACAGAGGAGTTGGAGGCATTAGGTCTGCTTGGAGGCCATTTATTAAGATCCTCATCAAGAACTGTATTAAAACCTCCTTCCATAATAATTATAGCTTTGGGAAATTTATTTAACCATAATAAAAAATATTTTCTATTGAGTGAAATAGTTTATCATTCCCTCCTTTTTTATTATATCCATAAATATTAGCACAGATGAAATGATGGTTTTCCAGAGTAAGAACAGACAGATATGTTGTCCCATTAGATCACATTCAGAGTCAATATTATTCCCTTTAATTCTATGTTTCAACTTCATAACTCCTGCAGAATGCACAGAACCATAAGAAAACCAAATACAATTTCCCCACTGGGCTTTCCAGAAATGAACATCAGTAGCAGTTGAATGACACTCCAAAAAAAAAAAAAAACAAAAAGAAAAATTTTGGCAAAAAAAAAAAAAAGTTTCCATTTTAAAAAAATAACCAACCCCCCCGCAATGAAAAAAAAAAAAGAAAAAACTTAAAAAAAAAAAAAAAAGTGCTCGGTCAGAGAAGGTGAACAGAAAAAAAAAAATGGGGAACAAAAACCGAAGAAAGAAACAAAAAATAATTAACAAAAAACGCCACAATTTTAAAAAAAAGAAAGAAAACAAAAAGGGAATCCAGATTCCAGTTTACTCCTCCACCCGATAAAGACTTGCAGGGATCTCCACGCCATTGATGAAACCGCAACCACCTATGAAATATGCTGATTTCCCCTCTTCCTGAGCTTTTTGGATGGACGGCCATAGTTTCTGTCGGAAATCACGGCCTTCTTAGCACAGATCTTCGGTAAAACAGAGACCATTTTGCCTTTAGCTGCTTTCCATATAAAATCTCGATACCTCCTAGCGACAAAGCGAATGATAATAGGACGAGGGACTGCCGCCAATCTTTTTCCAAACCCGAGGAGAAACATCAACTAAAAGCTGAAGCCTCTCTGTTTCCATCGGCAAAACCTCTTGACAGACCCGGGTCACCTCCACCACCACGTCCTCCTTCTCCGACTCAGGGACTACGTGAAGTCTGAGGTTCCAACGGCGGCTGTAGCGCTCCAGCTCGGTGACACGTATGGAACAGGCTGTGGTGTTTTTTTTGTGAGCTCTACGCAATTTTTTAGCATGAATTTACCAAACTCGCAATGTTCCGCCAATTTTCTCATTGCCACAACAAACAAAGACACTGACTCTCCTTCTTCTTGGTCATGTTTATGAAACTTCAACCTCTCAGAGATTAATAATGGCTTCGGTGAAAAATCGTCTGACAAAACCTTGACTATTGCAGCGTATGTCTTTTCCCCAGGCTTTGTGGGTTGAAGCAAGTCACGTAATAAATTATAAGTTTTAGGTCCCATCACAGCCAGGAAGGTGGGCACAATTTTGTGATAATGCAATGCTGTTAGCCTGGACAAAGTAATCAAAACGTTCGGAGTATGAGCTCTATTGTTCAACATTTCGGGCCAATATTACCAATAACTCCTGCCACCATGTTGGGGTTGTTTCCCTTACTTCAGGTTGATGCGGTCTGCTCGTGTTAGCACTGGGCTCCGTGAGGTGCTCAGCATTGGGTTGCTCCAGCTCCAGAGCGCCAAATATCTCCTCCTCGGAAGACAAATTTGACAACATAATCCAGCAACCTCTCCCCGTTAAAGACAGTGAATGTCCTGTAACTTGTTATATTCTACCTAACTTCCAAATAGTAATAACTGCTCAGGAGGAAGAAGTATGCTCAAACGTGTGCTTTACTCAGCTTCTCAGGCAAAATCAAACAATACATCCAGGTTACCCATTTTTCCCAGATTAAACTACGGTAAGCATGGAGGGGACATTCATAGCAAAACATAACAATAAATGCTTTTAAATCCTTTCTTTTATCCCTCTGTGCCCGATCTGCACCGGAATTGGGATCCGACACTACTTCCGGGAGCTAACGTTTTGGCTTTGGATTTAAACATAAATCTAGCGTTTTTCAGTTTTATGTTTGCATTTAATTTGAACCTTATGCTATATAGTGCATAATCTAAAGAGAGAAACAACAAAAATGCAGATAAACATCTATTAATCATATTTCGCCAGACTACTCTAAGCATGTCTGATGATGACGTCAAAGAAGCAGCTTAATGAAGAAAATGTAAAAAGCAAAAAATTGTCTCACAAAAGTCATAAAACATTTTTTTTTTTAACATTTTTACTATTCTTTAGTGAGTTATTAAGGATAAAAATAAGTAGTTTTAGTACCATACTTACATTATTTATGGACACCTGGATGTATATATCTATTCACGCATGCGCAGAACGGATCGGCCTTCCGGGATGGAACGGGTAGTGACAAGCCACAGAGTCCGTCCTCCTCTTCTTCTTCTTCTTATGTTTTTTTTATTGGCGGATGGCAACCAACTTAAGGTATATTTAGAGCCACCTACCAGACTGGAGTGTGGTTATCAATGGTGTCAGAGGGAAGTTTTTAATTCATACCTTATTGGTATGCAGGACTCTGCATATTATCTATCTATCAATATCTATACAAACTCACATATTTTCACAGTTCTGGTTCTGTTATGTTTTCTTATGAGTTTTCAGTCTTACTTTGCTCCATGTTTTCTAGTTTTAGTGGTTTAATTCTTATTTTTGCTGTCTCTCTGGTTATTTTTCAGTTTTCAGGTTTTTATTTGTTGCCTTCTGCTGCCCTCTTGTGTTCTCATTTTCCCGAGCTCGTATCCTGTTCTGCTCTGTTCACACCTGCTCCCAATCCTGCTCGTTAGCCCTCTATTTGTTTCAGTCTCCCATAAATACTCTCTCTGTTCAGTTCCTCAGTGCTGGTTCCTCTTTAAACTTCCTCCAACTCCGTCTCATTGAGTCTTTCTCCTCATGATTGTTTTTCCCCAGATGTCTCCTTGGTTCCGGGTTTGTTTGACTTTGTATTAATATTTAGATTTTTTGGTAATTTTGGATTCCTGCCTCTGTGTTCAGGTAACTCTTCACTAAATCAATAAGAAACTCACCTCTGCCTCCCTGCCTCTGCATTTGGGTCCTCAAACCTCAACAAAATCCTGACACATATAAATGAATATGTGTGTAATTTCAAATGCATACACACACTTATATGCTTAATTTAAATACGAATAAATAATCCAGTGTTTTTTTTACAAATGTAATTTAGTGATTTCTAGCAGAATTAGATTTACTTCCTAAAAGGTTTATAATTGAAAATCAATTTTTTTTCTCTATTTAGTATTGACTTTAAATGTTGACGTCCCTGTGAATATTTATTACATTCTAATAATACATGTTCCACTGTTTCCATCAGATTACAGTGATTACTAGTCGCTGTGTCATGTTTCCCTATTTTGAAAAGAGAACTATTAAGTCCAGTATGACCAGTTCTAAGTGGAGATATGACTGCCTTGTCTTTCTGCCTTCCATTCTACAACTATTACCCCCCACAGTCTTTTGAATTTTATAAAGATCTCTACCAGTGTCATGATTATCACAATGTTTCTGCCAGACCTTACAGATTTTATTCTGAAACATAGATCTACCCTCACTTTTGCTTAAAGAAATACTTAAGTTAATAATATCTGATTTTAAGGCCTGTTTAGCTAATATATATAGTTCTTCAATTCATTCAATCCCTACATGCGCAGGAATCCAGACAAATCGAACTAAAATATTCTTGTTATGAACCTGAAATAATAGTTGATATATTCAATTCAATTCAATTCAGTTTATTTCTATAACGCCAAATTCACATCATGTCATCTCAAGGCACTTTCCAGTTCACCAGATCATCCAGTCAGATTGATTCAAAGTTTTCTATCTAAGGAAAAC